CACACTGTAGGTCACCTGCTTCTGAATCTTAGCCAACAAAAGATTTGAAATCATGGTGGCGGTCACATTCTTGTGGTCATTTCTCTCGAACACCTGCATGCAAGTGTGGCTATCGGTCCATTCGGTTACCTCCCACTTGCCGTGATCCCGTTTGTTAAGACTCACCCGGGCCTTCCATATACATGGTACAACTTCATCTGATCTGCACACAACTTTAAACGACTTCTTGTTGGAATCTTTTGTCTGGACCGCCCTAAGTTTCTCGACATTCCAGGCATTAATACCAATCCGGGCTTTTTCCTTGGTATGAAAAACTGTACCCAATCGGATAGTCTCGACACGCCCATTCCAGGTTGGCAAGGCATACTCGTCCCTGTCTACACACGACAAGTCCCACTCACCCATCTCGCGATAATCGTAGAGGCCTTCGTTTGGAAAGGGGTGTTCTTCAATGAATTCTTGTTCGCTCTCCTCATTAATTGATCTGTCTGATTCGGTTTCCGAGGTCTCATCCGTGAAATCGTCTTCACCGGGAATGAAATCTTCATCTCCAACAATTTCTTCCTCAATGTCCGGTCCTCTCATGGTAAAGCTCGTTCCTTCGCCGAAATTACTCGTCCCTTCACCGAAATTACTCGTCCCTTCACCAAAGGTACCGGCATGCGTAGTCCACGTATCCTCACCACCAAACATTCCCTCGTAACCATATGATGGCGTAGGATCCTCAACCTGTGTAACCTGTGTGTTTGCTTCCAACACTATATGCAAAAACACATAGGACCCCGGAGGAGAGTAGAAAATCCACGAAAGAGAATTATCATTATGCAGTCTTCCGGTAATAAACGAATCATCCAGTTGTCTCGCCATCAAAGTAATATCCGAAATTGTCCAACTATCACAAAACCCACCATTTTCGTAAATCATATCTACCAATTGCCCATATGATATTATTCCATTAATAACAAATGAACAATCCGGACGAGACATATAATTCGAAAAATTCCATAACTCACTCTGGGGAATTTTCCAGTACACATTAACAAAGTATGGACCGTTAGACGACATTTTAACCTGTTGCACAAAAAAAAATTTATATTTTACAAATTACAACAACATAAAATGGCTAATCAAACACCACGAGAAAATTTCAATTATTATTTTACCAATCTACATTTAAAATTTCAATTATTTTACCAATCTACATTTAAAATGGCTAATCAAACACCCAAGAAAATTTCAATTATTATTTTACCAATCTACATTTAAAACTCATTTCCAACAACAACATATAATTAATTATATTTTTACTCCAACAACATAAAATTGTCAATTAATATATAAAAAACACCACAAAAACCCTAATCACCAATCTACATTTAAAATGGCTAATAAAACACCCAAGAAATTTTAATTATTATTTTACCAATCTACATTTAAAACAAGGGTCCAACAACAACATATAATTAATTATATTTTTACTCCAACAAAAAAAATAAATTGTCAATTAATTAAGTACAATTGTCAATTAATTTAACTAAAATACCACCAAAACCCTAATCACCATAATCCAACAATAACATTAAATTCATAAACACTTCGGATAAATATTCAACATACATTAAACCAACATTCAAGATTTTCTAAACAATAACAAATAACATATTATAACCATTTAACACAACTATAAAACCAACATTCAAGATTTTATAAACAATACTCAATCAACCAAATATATATCTTAAACATTCATAAACAACAAAAAATTAATATTACATTACATTAAAATAAAAACTAACCTCTTCTCCGATTATTGGTTGAAATTTTTTTTTAATGGAGCTTCAATTCGCCGAAAATTCACGAAAGATTTTTTTTTTTAATGGAACTTCAATTCGCCAAAAATCGAACAAAAGACACAAAAATATGTTTGTGGAACAAAATTCGCAGGCGCAGTCGGTCTGGGGGGGGTTTGTGGTTGGGTTATATCAACCTAAAAACGGATTTTGAAAATTCGTTTTTATCGTTTTTAGTTAAACACGGATTTTCAAAATCCGTTTTAATCGTTTTTTTTTTTCCCCGCTAAACACGGATTTCCAAAATCCGTGTTATAAATTAAAAAAAATCCGGATTAAATTTGACCGNACCCTTGAACGGGCTATTAATAACAACTATTAAAATAATAGTTATATTTTTATCAATTACACATTCAACCCATGGCTCAATTGTAATATATTATATGTTTGTGTAATTGCAAATAAGTCCCTACATCTAAGCAAATTCTCAATAACACATCCCCAAATCTAACACTCCATCTGCTGCCATGTCCACCACATCACAGAGCTGCCTGCCGCCGACGTCGGCCATTGACGTACGACTTCGACGTTCACCGGAGAACGGAAAACGACAGAGAATTTCACAAGGATGCCCTTGAAAACATAAATTTGACCCGCCGTGCTGCTCCATTTCATTTTCCTTCCCCTGTAACTTCCCCGCCGCCTTCCCATCCCTGTGGACCGGTTGTATGCCGCCGGAGAACGTCATCGACACGGACATGGTCCTGGGGTCTCGAAACCCAACATCGTGGCATACGAAGATGACGATGGGTTGCAAGGCGGTGGCTGTCGGCGGCGTTCTCGGCGAAAGTTTTCTGGAAGGCAATGGCGGTTTAAACGCCGACGAGAGTTTTCTCGAAGGCAGCGGCATTCGTGAAGAGATTTTTTGTGGCAGTTGGTATTTCCGGCGAGACCCACTGTAGCTCGGTGGACCTCCGGCGGCGTTCTCGGCGAGAGGTTTCTGGAAGGCAGTGGCGTTCTAAACGCCGGCGAGAATTTCTCGAAGGCAGCGGCGTTCACGAAGAGATTTTTCGTGGCGGCTGTTATTTCCGGCGAGACCCACTGTAGCTTGGTGGACCTCTGGCGGCGGTAGTTACTGCACTATCGGTGGCCAGCGACGGAATATTCGACGGAACCGGCGGTCTGGTGTGTGGCAGCGGGTGGCTGGGCATCGAACGAGGATGTCCAGCGGCAGTAGGTTGAATTCCCACGGGTGTGTGGGGATTGCGTGAGTTTGTGCGTGTTGCTCCGTGTTCTCAGTGTGAGAGATTGTGTGTGAGAGAGAAGAGTGTTGGGTGAGTTATTTGTGGGGCCCACTATAATGGTGGATGATGAGTTGTCATTTTCTGTAATGTCCATTTTATCCTTATTTAGTTGCCGCATGAAAATTTTTGACCATAATATGTACATTTAATTACAGGAATGCCATTATATATTTGACTGCCATTAATAACATTTGACTTGATCATAGCCATTGATTTGATAGATTCAATGGTACAGATTCATTCTTATTTCTTTCACTATCTACCATTCTCATATGATCCTAACTCTCTCTCTCTCTCTCTCTCTATATATATATATATATATATATATGAGAACTAGGTCTTATTGTGAGAACCGTGAAAAATGCTATTTTTAATTGTGCGTAGTGTTATGATTGATTGTGTTTGGTACTATTTTTAACCATGATAAATTTTATTAAAAATAGCAACACAATTTATATTAGCATTTGTGAAAATGATAGCATCATCTAATATTAAAAATAGCATCAACCATGGTTCTCATGTCCGGACTAGTTTTTATTTGGAACCAGCCCCATATATATATATATATATGTATATATATATAATGTTCTTACTTTAAATAAAAAATATAATATTTACCAATACTTTAGATGTAGCTAGAAATTTGTTAAGAATAAGAGAAATTACTAATTGGAATATTTGATATAGATGAGTAGGCATATCTCACAATGTGTAACCAACCTGTTGAATGTAGAGGTGCATTCTCTGTGTAATATTCTGCGTGCCACAACAAATTGACAGTCGTGTTACAAGACTACATTAGAGAAGTGCTTTGGGTTACTGAGTCTATTTATACTGCGTGTAACTCTTTTTTTAATAAAATCATAGTAGCATTGGTTAATAATGTAAAAAGTGATCATGGGGAGGGTAATTATTTCATAAATAAATCTCAAATATCGAGCCCGAATGTCAATTGTAATTCTGAAGGCTAGGCCTTATTGGCCAGTGTTGTACTCTTTTTAACTTAGATAAGTTTTTTCTTCCCGAAAGGTTTTTTCTTAGTAAGGTTCTAATGAGCTAATGAGACAACAAATGTACATGAGTTCTCAAAAGTCATTTACTATTTTCCTCAACTATTTTTTCCTTATGGATTTTCTTAACAAGACATAGACATTATACGGTAATGTCTAAGGAAAAGCATTGCGAATGATTAATTTATTGCTATCACCAATGCGAATGATTAATTTATTGCTATCACCAAAATATAGGCATCATAGGTATGAATTCGAAGCCCATCAAGTCATTATCAATATTGTATTCTTTATATATAGGGTTTGCGTGAATGAATAATAAGATAAACTTTATGTTTACTGTTTTATATTAAAACAGTAAGTACTAGAAGAAGACAACTAAAAAGACAAAATCAGCCTTGAAGCCATTATTTTATTTTAACCCAACAAAAATCGACTTAACTGAAAGTCCCTCCCATGGAAGCAAAAATGACACCAAGACTGCCCCTCCCTAACCCCTCCTTACCCTCACAAGCAAGTGCACCATCATCCCACACAAGAACCCCAAAGCAGCACTTGACCCAACCAATGAAACCACTGCACAAGCAAGCATCACAAAACACTCATCCTTGGAGTTCATATCCCTGCAGCACATGGCCAGCTCGACCCCTGCGAAAAACAGCAGAACCCCTAATACCCCGACTGGAAACTCATCCAAAACCCTAACCATCGAACTCCCGACTACCAAACCCAACACTAACTTAGCCAGGCCAAGCAGCGCCACGCAAGCCCCTGTCCGCGCCCCAAACTTGTACTGCCCCGCAAGCCCACCGGCCCCATGGCAGCACGGCATGGCCCCAAACCAGCATCCAATCACGTTCATGAGCCCGACTGTGATCGAGACAGATGTTGCAGATACATCCTTTTCGGGAAAAAGATCAGTGGCCAGTTTACAAACGGCGATTATAGAGTTTAAAATCGACAGGGGCAGTTGCGGGATTGTACCCTTGACGAAACCCTCTTTCCACTCATGCTTGGATATCTTGATAATTTCCATCCGGGAAGGCCCGAATTCGAAAGTTTTGACGGCTTCAGGGCCTCTTATGGCTGCCAAAACCAATCCCAGTGAAAAAATTAAAAATGCTGAGGGCAGAGAGAAAATTATTTTTCTCAGCTTTTTCATTCTTGAAGTCCTTGTGCTTAAACTATCCAGTTCTTGATTAATTTCTCCATTTTCGTTTTCTTCACCAGAACCATTAACAATTATGATAAAACAAGCACATAAAAGAGCTAAAACCAATCCATCAAGCCCAAGCCAGGGCCTTTCACCGCCAGATTTGGACTTGGCAAACACCTGAACTTTTCTTACGTATTTCACTGCAGTCATAGCAAAAGACAGCCCTTGCGCAAGCTGAATTCCTCTAACAACAGAAATTGGAATCAGCTTATATACAAGATGCATCAAACCAGTAACGCCCAAAATTAGCAAAATCCCACCTGTGCAAATCCCAGCAGACATCACCTCTGGAATGTTGAAATCGGGAGTGGAAATAGCAACCGCGGCTATTGATTTCATGGGCTGGACGGGCATGGGGACTCCATAGACGGCGCCAGTGACGAAATTATAAATTCCAGTGAAAATTAGGGTTGTTCCAAGGTCGAGATCTTTGGCAAGAGTTAAGGCTAGGACTATGGGTATGTATGTGCCTAAATCACCCATGGCGCCATTTAGTTCGGCCCATACGGACCTGAGAGCCAAATTTTCTTTCATTGCCAGAGCAACTTTAGATGGGATGAATGTGGAGCTCCGTTTACCAGATTCTTGATCCAGGTTTTGCGACGCTTGCTCCATCGATGGGAAAGGGGATAGNGAAAAAAAAAAAAAAAAAAGAATAATATATCGCGTGATTACTGAAGAACTCAGAATTATGTTAATGTGCGGTGAGAACAAATTGTAAACTAGTAGAAGCCTTTATATAAACATGCAATTGTTGGCCCAGCTGCTATACTGAAAGATTCAATTTTGGCATAAGTTTAATTAATTAATATCTATTCGAATTACATATTTATATATCTATTAGATTTGCATGATTTTATTATGGTAATATTTTGTAGCATAAATTCTATGGCGCTCATATGGACGCCATAAGCCATGTCATAATCTTATTTGTCACATTAGGTAACTTTATTAATTTTAATTGTAATATCCAACATGGCATACCATACATGAGATGACTTTAAATAAGATTTTCCACACCAAAATAAGAATCCCTTCGTCCCCAAATTCAGAAGGATTGGGGGGCCAACGGTGCAAACTTACACAGCAGCCCCTACTGTGTATTTTAATGCTATTAGATCATGTTACTTTTAATCTAATGGTCTAAATTTTATCTTTTTTTCTTTAATCACAAAAGAGACTCGTATTAAAAAACACAGCACAAACTTGTACTCCTTCATATTCATAATAAGTGTCGTTTTTGGAAGTTGCACAAAGAATAATTTTTTTGTCAATAATAACCCTCATTAATGAAGATAGAGATGAATGTTTTTAAAAAAAAAATGAAGAGAATATGAAAAGACATAGTGTATTTATTAACTAAATGAGAGTAATAATGAAAAAATATGTACAAAAGATCCAAAACGATATTTATTTCGGTTAATAGTTGATAAAGTCAAAATGACATTTAAAAAGAATAGGAGGTAGTATTAATTACTAAATTAAAATGCAAGAGGGAGAGAGAATGTTTCACACTCTTCTAATAATAGCCTTCAGTTGAATTATATGAAAGTGGGATTGTTGTATTTTTAAACATTTAATTGCTCATAATATTATAGTTTTTTTTTTAATCTAATTTCTTTATGTAACAAATTTGTAAAATCACTTAGAAATAGTGGATTGAAAAGTTTAATATATTACCTAAAAACGCAATGGATTAATATTTTTTGAAAAAGTTTTAATATATTATCGAAATGATATATTACACCTTTACAAATAATATATGTACACTAACTCAATTGTTTTGGTTACGTTTTTTAATCTAATTTTTTGAAAAGTATAATTATTCAAAATTTTACAAGTTTCACATTTTCAATTATATATTACCTAAAAAAATAATGGATTGATATTTCTTTCTTTTAAAAAGTGTATTGCAATTATATTACTTCTTTGCAATTATGTTTTAATTAATATTTGAAATTTTATCAATCAACTAACCCAAGCATCATCCATATAAATGAACGCCATTCCAATTTAAAAGCACTCATGTGAATCATCAATATTTGGTATGCTTAAATTAAATCCTCAATCATTCAGAGCATCAATCCTACAAAATACAAACAAAATCTAAAAAAAAAAAAAGAAAAATCTTGAAAAAAGGTGTAAAATCTGTAAATAAAAACAAAAAAGAAGAAAGAGAAAATACCTTTCAATTTCAAAGTTATTCCAATCTATGAACCCGTACTCCAACTCTTTCTCAGGATTTAATCCATATTTGTTTGCTTCTTCATGGTCTTCATTGACATTTTACAAAATTTTAATCAATTATAGGCTTTTCTTGGTTGAAGGGTGCAGCAGGAAGTGAAAAGTGTATTGAGGAAAAAAAAAGAAAATGAAGTAAAAGGTGTATTGAAGAAGCCATTTATTTATGTTGTGATTAAAAAAAAGAGAGAAAATCTGGACCATTAGATTAAAAGAACATGATCCAATGGTCATTAAAAGATACAACAGAGGGTGCCGTGTGAATTTGCACTGTTGGGCCCCCAAATCCAATTCAGAAAGGCCGCCTACCTTTTCCATTTCGAGTGAGAAAATCTCAATGAGAAACCATACATTCAGATCCCAATGAGCATTAATATTTATCCGTTTGAAAAAAAAAAAAAAAGATCTCCAACAATTGCGAAACCTCGAAATCGATTTCTTATCAGACCATCATTTTTAGCCGTCAATTTCACTTCCGCCATGGATTTCATCGACTACGGTTTCGATTCGGACGGTGCATGACCCTACGGCGGCTTCTGAATCTGATCCGATCCTCCTGTTCCGACCGACATCGTTCCTGCGGATCAGCTTCATTATTAGCTCGCTCTTACCTTCTCAACACCCTACATTTATCGTCCCCAAATTCCTCCCTCTTAACGGTTGTCCAGATCCGAAACCACCTTTGAATAACAGAAATTCACTTGACCTGAAACGGACAAGGGGTGGCACCCTCCGCAATGTCCCGCTCCACCTGTGGGGCCAAAGGGCGGGTCGCGCGCCGCCAGCCCCTCGCCGGAGTGGTGGCGCCGCCGCAGACGAGAGGGGGCCTCGAGACGCAGTTTGGTAATTTTGGGGAGGGGCTACAGCCGGAACAAATGGATATGCCGGGAGGGGAAGACGAGTGGTCGGAATTCCCTCCGGCGTACATGCCAAGGTCGGGTTATATGTAACTTTCCAGGTAATGAATCTGGAAAAGAAAGAGAAAGGGTTTTATCAAATGTTGGTTTTTATTGTTGGTTTTGGTGTTTTTGAGTAGAGTTGTTATGGTGATGGTTATGAGTCTCTTAATTACTATAGTAATTAAGGTTTTGTGCGTGTGAGTGTTCTGTTTTTGAAGTTGTAAGAGAATGGAGATTGTAAAATATACATATCTATGAAATGCGTTTGTTTGATTATATTGTTGATGTGAAGTTCTTGTTTTATTTTCTTTGGGATGTTTCAATTTCATTTTTGTTTCTGATTCCTTTAATTATGAATATGTCACTGGTGGGAGTTTTCAAAGATATGAAACTTGATCTTTTAAAGCACAAAAAGGGTTTATACATAATATGCATAGGTTCATTTTATAGAACAATTTATTTTTAAACAAACTTATTTAGTTTTCAAATAATCAATCATATGAAATATGTTGTTAATAAACCAGTGAGTATTTATGTTTAAAAATGTGTGGGATGAAGTTGAGATGTGTATGGAAATAAGCTAACCTATGACTGTGACGTTGGGTTACAGAGATTGAGAGATGTTGGTTGGGAAGAGCTGTATTGCAAACTAGAGGATGACAATCTAGTAAAGCTGTTGTCGAATTCTGGGAGGTCTACTGGCATATGCTTGGTGGTGTTAGATGATATTAGCTACTTTGAATCTTGTTTCTCTTCTTTTTCTTTTGTTTTAATTCAAAAGTCGGATGATTTTGTTGTAGTGTCGGCCGAGAAGGCATAAGGGATATGAATAGAGGAACAATCATGTTTAAATCCACCTCATGTATGGTATGACATGTTGGATATTACAATTAAAATTAATAAAGCCACCTCATGTGACACATAAGATTATGGCATGGCTTATGGCGCCTATATGGGTGCCATAGATTTTCTGTATTTTGTAGGGTATTGTTCGTTCCACTTTTGTCATGTTTTTCTTCTTTATTTCATGCTTGTTTTTCTCCTACGTAGGTATTATTCTTTGGTTTTTGGTCCGTTTCGAGTCGTTTCGTGCATTTCCTTTGTTTTAGTGGTTTTTGGTTTTTTTGTTCGTTTTTTCCCGGTTTTCCGTATTTCTTGTCGGTGGTGATGTGTAGGTTTGGTGGCTCGGTGCATGGCCATGCGAGGTCTACTGTCTAGATGGATGAGTTGGGGTCGTGTTGGAATAGGGGTCATTGGGCTGCCGGTTTTGATAATCTTGGAGGGCATTGACATCTGTATACTGTTCTCCTACCTCCTGGTCAAACGCCGATGGACACACCTCGGATCTATGTCCCTGAACTCCACATGCCCCGCATGTGTCTACTGCCATGGTGTGTACTGACTGGCCTCCTCGTGCATTCATTAGCCGCATTTGCTCTGTGAGTTCGGCTATTTGACGGGCCATCATATCTTGAGCAGAAGATACCTCGTTAACCCCGACCCTTTTTCCTCGATTGCTCTTTTGAGACAAGTTAGCACTCATTGTCTCAAAAATCTCATACATCTCTTCGGCCGTCTTTGCACCGATGTCTCCCCCTGCAGCGTTGTCAACCATATATTGCAAATTCTGGTTGAGGGAGTCATAGAAGCAATTCATCAGTAGTCCCGGTGAAAGATTGTGGTGGGGACACTGTCGCTGGAGATCCTTGAATCGCTCCCAGGCCTCGTGAAGAGGCTCACTCGGTAGTTGGGCAAACGAGACGATCTGTGACCGGAGCTCCTGAGTCTTCTGATGGGAGTAGTACCTCCCAATGAACTTCGTGTAAACCTCGGTCCAGGTGGTCAGAGATGCCGGTGCAAGTGTCATGAACCAGGCCTTGGCCCGGTCTTTCAATGTCTCGGGGAAGCACCTCATCTTCAACTGATCCTCATTCCCCGTTCAGTGGGAAGGTGTTGAGGACATTGTAGAATTCCCGAATGAAGTTAAGCGGGTCTTCGCTCGGGAGCCCATGGAATGCCGGCAGCTGGTTGTAGTGAATCATTTTTAGCTCATAATTTCGTGCGGGATCTGGCAAACGGATGCACGAAGTGACTGGCCCGATAACCGGCTGGGCTAAGGTTCGGAGGGTGTTACGAGGCGGTTGTTGCTGTTGTTCATCCATGTTGACGTTACTGCCTTCTGACGATTTCGGGGAATGCTCGTCTCCTTCGTTAGATTCGAGAGTAAGCTCTTCCAGTAGCTCCCTCAGGCTCTCGTTGACTGATTTGTTGATCGGAGATAGCAGTTTGCGTCCACTCCTGGTACGCATACACTATGACCAGCAAAGGTTACGAGCACCAATGATAAAACAAAATGAAAACAAAGTAAAACGAGAGCTAACACCTAACAAATTAAAAGAAATAAAGAGAAACACAGAAAAACAAGATGAATAGGCGCACAAAATAAATCCTAAACCTTCCCCGGCAACGGCGCCATTTTTGTTGTAGTTTATTTTACCGGAGTTAAATCAAAGATTCGACATCGGGTCGTGTCTCTCGAGGAAGGTCAGCCGGATTATTTTGTCCGATTATTCAAACACAAAAATGGAAAATAAAAGAAGTAAAAATCCTAAACATTCTAAATCAAGTTTGTGAGTTTGTTTATCGACTATTAATTGAAAAGCAAGTAACTGAAAAGACTAGACAAGATTGGGAATCACAAGTTCACAACTCAATACTCGAACTTAATTTATGATAAGGGAGCTAGGTGTTGTAGCAAATTATTTTATTTTTACCGAGTACCGAATCAAAAGATTCGTTCCCCAGGTCGATCTCTCGAGGAAGACGGTTCGGAATTTAGCGTTGGTCTTGATCACACACGAAAAGAAAATAAGTCCTAAACACTCTAATCACGATTGATTTGGGAAATTAACTAAAACAAGGTAGAACTAGAAAAGCAATTTATAGAAATAACAATTAAATTTCTAGAGAAAAAGAAGAAGTTCTAGGGGTCGGGAAATCTATCAAGTCTTAAACTATGTTGAACGCTTATTTGTTCGGTTACGAGATTAAACAAGCCTACACGTCTAGAGGGCTATGCTCAATAACTCTTCGTAACAAGAGCACAAACATAAACGATAAATTCATTCAAACAAGCAACACATAGACAATACTTTTACGAACATGTCTACTCTATACGAGCCTAAATCGACTGACGTCTCCCCTCTCGGTTCTAAACGTCGATTAACTAGGTTAGAATGGTGATCAATCAACTAACCATATAATTCACACAACTCGTATAGATTGAACAAAACACATTCCTCATAATTCAAACAAGAATCAAAATCCCTAACTCTAGGTGAATGGATTACCTCGTGCTTAGATTCAATTTCATGTTAACCAGAATTAAGAACATAAAACCAATCAACAATAATAAAATAGAATTGAAAAACTTACAATCGGATTAAGAGTTGCAAGATTTCAATCCAAATATCTTTGTGTCCAACAATCCAAGCATGAGAGAAAAAAAAGAAAAGCGGAGAAATTTTATCCTAACAATATTGAGTTTTTGGAGAGAAAATTGAAAGGAACGATATTGGGGATTGTTCCTTAGGTCTGGGGGGTCGTTTTGATATATAGTGCGAGAAAAACGGAGCTAAAACGATTAAAAACGAGCAAAAATAAAAACAGGGCCGGCTCAGTCGCGAGTCGCGACTGAGTCGCGACTTTGCCTTCTCCTCGGTCGCGAGTCGCGACATCCTCGCGAGTCGCGCGTCGTCATTCTTTTAATATTCTGGGGCTGGTCGCGACCCGAGTCGCGAGTCGCGACCTCAACTCGCGAGTTGCGACTTCGACACGGAACTGCTCCTTAAGCCTCAGTTTTTCTCGCGAGTCGTGACTTTGGTCTCGCGAGTCGCGACTTTCATCTCGCGAGTCGCGACTTTGGTCTCACGAGTCGCGACTTTTCTCTCGCGAGTCGCGACTTTGGACTGCATTGTGCAATTTTACGTTTCGGGCTCGTTTGGGCTGGTCCGAACTCGGAATTGAGTGCCGTTTTTTGCTATGCGTCACCAACGAACCCCTCTATTAGAATATGCACTCGAAACAAACTTTTTCTGAAGATAAAATTCTCCCGAAGCTCCCGACCTACACACCAAAAACGACAAAACACAAAAGAAAACCGGAAAAACAAACGAAAAACACCTAAAGACTCAAAATAAAGGAAAACACATAATAAAACACGAAATGGACTAAAAACTAAAGAAACGGCCTAAAACGGGGGAAAAAGAAAGATAAAATAAACAGGAAAAACGTAACAAAAATGGGACAAACACTAGGGTATCAGGGTCGATCAATTTCGATTCTCAATACACTTAACGAGCAATCAAGAGCTCGGTTAAATGCCTCGCTGAACTACTTATCTAGAGGTATATCCTCAATAACTCTTCGTAACAAGAGGATAGGCATTAACGAGTAATTCTAGAAACAATCAACACATAAGCAATACTATTACGAACAAGCTTATTCCTAACGAGTAGATCGAACGATTTCTCCCTTTTCAGTTTTGAAATCGATTAAATAGATTAAGATGGTGATCAATCATCAAAACCCTAGGCTAAGCACAACTCGAGAGAATTGAGCAATTATCATGCATATAAACGAAATCAAACCGGAGTGATCTTCCCCTAACCCTAGCTAAAGGATTTAGCTACTCATAATGCATTCAACTCCAACAAATATAATAATCAAAGTCATTCAATCAATGAGAAAACGAAATGAAAACTTACGATTAAGGAATCCAATGTTGAATACACGAATAACCGAATCCACAAGCTTAATATTGGTGTTTTCACAATCCAAGATCAATTCTTATGAAAATCTAAGAGAAATATATGTTCTGGAGTGAAAAAGCACCAGAGAGGTTCAAAAACCTAGGTCCCAAGATCCTCAAAAACTGAACAAACTCGCAAAATAAAAATCTGCTGTCGCGACCCCCGCGGCCGCGACTTAGCCCTCCGCGGCCGCGGCGAAGAACATCTCGCGGCCGCGACCATCTCCGCGGCCGCGAGCTCGACGGGCCAGAAAATCAAATTTATGGGCATCTCGCGGCCGCGACCTCCCCTTCTCCGCGGCCGCGGTGAAGCATTTCTGCACGTCGTGTTTTCGGTTCGTCTTCTCACATCCGGACTCGGAATTTGATCCCGTCTTCTCCAACACGACCCCAACTCATCCATCTAGACAGTAGACCTCGCATGGCCATGCACCGAGCCACCAAACCTGCACATCACCTGCTGGAACACGCCGACGAGGCGGTCCTTCCCACGGATCGATATCGGGTACCAAACATGTACATACATGATTTCGATTAAACCCTAAGCATGCTCCTAAAGGACGAACAGAAAGTTTACCTTTCTTCGAGGCTTTGATTCGATCTGAGCGATCTTCTAGTCTGTGTCCCGACCACGTTTGGACGCCGGATGGACGACGATCTACCAAACGGTTGAAAAGAGCGGATTGTATCTCGTCTTATCTGAACCCTTCACGTCACTTCTCCACGATGGTGGCTGAAGAATGTCACGTTTTGTGATGTGTGTTAGGGTTGAAGACGTGCAATCCCTCCTTTTATAGAGGTCCTTGGGCCAGCCTAGGGATCTCTTAGAAGGTATAGGGTTTGGGCTCCCTACAGGCCCAAATTCTTATGTTCAGCCCAGAACACAATTTGGCCCGTAAATATTAATTCATTCCACTAGAGAATTAATATTG